GCATTGTCGAGAGATTCAGACCATAGCAATGTGATGAGCAGATAATGGAGGAAGGAGAAATAGGGTTTCTATTCTTAATATAAAAAATAATAATTTTAAGAAGCAGAGATGTAAATGTCAAAGGAAATAAAATACAATTTCTTTTTCTTATTGTTTTTATTGAGCTATACGTTTTTGTCTGCTCCCCCTTCTTTCTGCCCCTCTCCTCTTTTACCTCTCCAATGGTCCCAATTTACTCAGGAGATCTTGTCTTTTTCTCCTTCCTAGAAAAGAAAAATCAGTCTATAGAGTCCACAACTGCAGAGAACCTAGAGAATAAAGAGGACCTTAAGACAAACAGACATACATAGATCCACATAGGAAAATACAATTTCTTATTCATCTTCCCTCCCACCCATTTGTCTTCCCAAGCCAAGGTGCCCCTTCTATTTTCATGGCTTTATTTTCAATCTAGATTTTACATATGAGATGTCATATTTGTCTTTCTAAATCTGTCTTTTTTTTGCTTAACATGATAATCTCGTTTTTTTCTATTTTCCTGCAAATATTATAATTTCTCTCTCCTTCAGTGATGAATAACTGTGTACATATACCATATCTTCTTCATCCTTCCACCCCACTGATGGGCCACAATAACATGGCAATGCAGATATCCTATTGTTAGCTAACTTAGATTCCTTCAGGTAAATACCAAGGAATAGTATACTAGATCATACAGTAGTTATATTTTTAGTTCTGGGGAAACATCCATATTGATTTCCATGCTTACTAGATTAATTCACATTTATAGCGATAGTGTAGAAGGCTTTCTCCCCCTGCCTCTACACCCTGCATCTTTACTAGAATTTGTTATCATTTATTGTCTTGATAAAGGCCACTCTGGCTGCGGTGGGAATGGTAGTTTTGTTTACATTTGCGTTTTGGAAAGGGGACTCTGGCATAGACATTTCTTCATGAGTCATGCCTGTTGTTCCCACTTCTGGAACCATGTCTGTCCATTAACTCCCTATAAGCCTTGCCTCAGACACCAGCTCTCTTAGAGAGAGATATCTCAGACTGACTTGAGCACCTCTGTGACTCTGTGGTATCAGGGCAAGCTATGACCCAATTCATATTGTGCTGAAATCCCTCGTGCATGCCTACTCCTAATTGCAAAGATGTTTGGATCTTTTTGATGTCCTTGACATGAAACATGAGACTGGAACAATGCAAGTAAACACCTGTTCAATGTTTATTTAATGACAAAGATATCAAATGCAAGGAATAATAACAAACAAATAATCAAGAATTACCAAATGTGTTGGAGGGAAGGTAGCTTTGGTTTTTCTTCTATTGCATTTTCAGTAGTAGATGGAGTACCTTGCTGCAGTCCCAAGAGTAAGGAGGCCAGTCAGAACAAGTGGAGGCATCTGAAACCAAAAGGAATCTCCCTTCCTTTAAGCTGTTTTCCTAGCTATCCAGGCATGGCATTGAAAAAGTAGCAAATGCATATCCAAGGCGAACTGTTTCAGGCCCCTTCTCAGAACTACCTACCCCACCTTGTTAGAAACTCAACATCTAGGGTTCGTTCAGATTTTCTGAGAGAGAGGCTTGGGGAGGGATCACTGACCTGGGGCTTCTTGGTATTCTTCAGGCGATTCGAACATAGAACAGCATTTGACAGGAGTACAATCATGAGTGATCCGCTGACACTGGATGCTCCTGGGAAATCAAGCCACCTCTCCAGGACTCCGTGTACTTACCTATAAATCAGTGCCAGGAGGAACCCTTTCCGATTGTTTACCTGTAACTGAAGCTGTTGACTGATTGCTGCAGAGTCAGGCTCTGCTCTAAGCCTCCACCAATGCTAGAAACCAGGGAGCTCCCAGGCTCGTGTTCCTGTCAGCTCTTACCAGAAGAAGAGCTTGGAACATCAAGCATCCAGAACTTCTACAAACTGATCGTAAAGCTTGTTTGCTTGAAATGGGCCCAGATTGAGAAGATTTATTACCACGAAACTGGCAAACACCACAGATTGGGGCTTCACCTTCCACAGTCTCCAGAGAGCTGCTGTTCAGCACAGCCAAGGGCATTCAAGTAATCCCCCTGCCTCAGGCCCCAGAAAACCTAGAACGCACTGATAGAGAAAAATGCTTGTCTTTCCTGTATTCTCAATTTTAAGGAATGCAACACAACTTTTTAGTTAGGGACTGGCAGAGGTTAATATGTCTTAAAATGCACACTTGGGAACATGAAGCATGAAGTAGACTCTTGAGAAGACTCGTCCATCCCCAGAGTCATCTGCAATGTTCCTCCTTGTCTTTAATGTTGAAGGCTAATAGTCTTTTACTGATCAGCATATATGCACGCATACATAATCTCACATTTCTTTTATAAGACTCTTTAGATACTGTAGTTTGTGGTCTGTATGAATTGAGGTCTTTGTAAATAAATTTTGCATATATATAATTTCACATTCTAGGGAGCTAATGAATGAATTTGAATGCATTCTAATAGGTGAAAACTTATTACTTGTGTTGACTTTTAATTAATACTATTAAGGACTACTTAAAATTTAATTGTGTGTTTAGCAGTTTTATTTAAGTAGTAGGCAATGAAATTCTAACCACCACCACCACCCCTCTGTGTGTCTGTGTGTTTCTTCCCTTCCTCTTTTCCTCATTTCCTCTCTCCTCCTTGGTGGTGTTAGGGATCTAATCCAGGGCCTCTTTCAAACAACTTACTGCCGAGCTATGACCTCACAACTCACCCCTTTAAAAGTCCTGATTTTATAACTGACCAAGAGTAAAATAAGTACAAATGGAGGCTTCCCAGATACTGTAGCACATATGCCTAAAAATTCATTATGTAAACAATGTTGTTTTTAATCTCATAGTACATATTACCAGCTTACAAACTCTGCAAAACAAAGTGAATTTTAAAAGCTCATTTAAAAATGAATGGTCAGTTAGGTTATTTGCTCACTGTGACACTTCTTTTGGGAAGGATGGATCAATAGAAAAAGAGACAATCTGATAAATTCATCAATCTGTTTAGTGGATTATATGAAACAGCAGCATGACTTTCCAGAGCAACACTTTCCAAAGTCTGATCCACCATCCCAAGAGCCTGAAGACCTTTTCAGAGAGTCTGCAAGATCAAAACTCATTTTAAAAACATTATCTTGCATATCACCATAGAACCTTAATCTGGCGATGGATGGAGATAGAGGAGACCCACATTGGAGCACCGGACTGAGCTCCTAAGGTCCAAATGAGGAGCAGAAGGAGGGAAAACATGAGCAAGGAAGTCAGGACCACGAGGGGTGTGCCCACCTACTGTGATGGTGGAGCTGATTTAATGGGAGCTCACCAAGGCCAGCTGGACTGGGACTGAATAAGCATGTGATCAAACCGGACTCTCTGAACCTGTCAGACAATGAGGGCTGACTGAGAAGCCAAGGACAATGGCAGTGGGTTTTGATCCTACTGCATGTATTGGCTTTGTGGGAGCCTAGCCAGTTTGGATGCTCACCTTCCTAGACCTGGATGGAGCGGGGAGGACCTTGAACTTCCCACAGGGCAGGGAACCCTGACTTCTCTTTGGACTGGAAAGAGAAGGGGAGGGAAAGTGAGGGATGGGGGAGGGAAGTGGGAGGAGGGGAGGAGGTAGAAATTTTTAATAATAATAATAAAACATTGGGTGGTGTCAGTCTTTTTACCAATATTTACATTTGCCTTGTTTGAGCAACAGATGCCTTCGTACAGGCCAAGGTGTGTTAGTCATCACAGAGTTCACCATCACGCACTTGGAGTAAAGCAAAAACCTAGGTGCCTTTCAGAACATCCTCAGTGAAGCAGTAAGATGACACACTTTGTGGAGATTATGAGGTTTTAATCTGTGAGCAATAGAATACGCTCACAGGGCACTGGAAGCCAGTATACTTCTCTTCATCCAGGCCAAGCTGTTTTGATGGAATATTCTTTTCATCATTTTAATCGTAACACATAAATTACGTCCTTTGAGACCCATCAAAATAAGCTAGATAAGCCAGTCACAAGGGAAAGCTGGAGGTATTTGTTGCCAGAGTTCAAACTTTCAAGTGAAAATTAAAATTTTGGAAAGTTCATGTCTGCCACCACGAATCTGGAAGATTATCAATAATCACTAAAAAAAGTGGAAAAACGAAATATACAATAAGTTGCAAGATCCGTGCAATCCAACAAGACATTATTTTTCCAAACGACTGTAATAGGGTGGGTTTATAAAATGGATAAAAGATGATTTAAAATAGAAATTGGACATATGATTTTCAATGTGATAAAACAGAAAGAATTTATAGATGGGGTTTATGTTGTAACCATCCTTCAAGCCACTTGCATTCATTGAGATCTGCAATTTTGTAGTATCAAAAGTAATACTGCATTTACATAAAAAGAGATTAAAACAGTCTTACTTTTCCAAATAATATGTATGAGGCCCAATTATCTTTTTATAATTTAGCCCAAAGTAGAAGGTTGAAATAGATGGAATGCAGAAGCAGATATGAGAATCTAGTTATTTTCATTAACCCAGATGCTAATAGACCTGCGAAAGGAAAAATTACATCGCTAAACTTGTTTTAGAAAAATAGTTACTATTACTAGCAATGTTTTATTTAACATGTAGTCGATTCACTCTTATTTTTCAAAGATTTGTTTACTTATTTTATTTTATATGTATATATGCTTCACATATAGGCCTGTGTACCACGTACATGCTTGGTGCCCCTGGAAGCCAGAAGAGGGCATCAGATCTCCTGGGAATGGAGAACGCTGTTCATGTGGGTACTGGGACTTGAACCTGGCTCCTCTGTAAGAAAAGCCACGGTGCTTTTAGATACTGAACCACATCTCCAGCTCCAGATTTATTGTTTTCCAGTGATCTCATAGGAAATTTTTTTTAAACAATACAAATGTTTTATTTATTAGTCTCAGGTCATCTTTGGCCAAGTGGTGGATACTCAGGACCCAGCAGGAAGGTCAGCGCAACCTCCGAGCCTCTCTTTCTGACTCCAGTAGGGTGAGCACAGCTCCCTCTCGAACGGGACCTTTGACATTTCGGACGCTGGAGCGGCTGGTGTCATCCATAAATTCCACACATACCTGCGTGCACTGTCCCTGCAAACCGGTCCTGCCCAGCACTTTGGTTACCCTAGAGAGCTTGATGGGCTGCACGTGACTCGTGTCCATGATGGCGGCGATCAGGCGGAGAGCGGGAAATATTTTTAAAAACATCTTTAGCTAAATACTTGTATGTGTACAATACATATGAATACACTGGTCTAAAAAGCAAAAGTTATCATGGAGATTGCCTGGTCTCTAACAGTGACGTGTTGACTCAGTTTGAGCTTTCCACGGAGATTAAGGGGTGAATTTCAAGGCAGAATTCACAAGCTGCTGTGTCAGGATTATTGAAAATCGTATTCATGGCAATCAGCGCCTCTCTGTGGCTTCAGTTCCCCTATGGTAAAGCATGCTCCAAAAACATCCCACAGAAAATTCCAGAAACAAACAATGTACGTTCCGAATCGAACAGCATTCTAAAGAGCAATATAAAATCCCATGCTGACCCACCCACCTGACCTGAGGTGGGCTGCTATGAGATCAACCGTTGAGTCAGTGCATGAATACCAGTTTTGGTGCTATCAGTGGTTTTGGGCACCCACTGCGTATCTCAGAACACATAACTTCAGATAAAGGGAGATTGTTTTACAAATACAGAGAAAATAAATATCCATGGATCCTCTCCACATTCCTGAATGGAACTGGGCAGCATGGAGGGGCTAGAAAACCCCTGCTTCATACTGAGAAGGACACACAAAATCCTGAGCTGGTCCAGACACCAGAGATCAATGTCCAGGTTGGCTACATAATCATTCAAAACTTGAAATCCTTCTTGGAACTTCAGTTTATTACATCATTTATTGAGCCCATGAGTTTCCACGAAATGATGGCTGAGAGAACTTCAGACATCAGAACATCCCACGTGATGTCATTTCTTAAATGTGTCCACAAAAATGAATGACTGCCAGGAGTGGTGACACATGGGCTTTGACTCCAGTGCTTGGGGGGTAGAGGCAGGAGGATTCCCTGTATGAGTTTGAGGTCAGTGAATGCTACAGAGCGAGACCCTGCCTCCAAAACAGAACAAAATGACTGAAGTACATGTTGGGCCACAGTATTCTTAACCTGTAAGAACAGTTCCAAGATCAGACTTTTAAAAATACATTTAGGTTGATCTATTATCTATCAGTTCATAAAAACTCACTGGTGATACTTTTGTCCTTAATGTGTTTTAACTGAGGTCTGAACCCAAAGAGCATTTTCTCAAAAGAGCAATATCTGAAAAATAAGTCCAAAGGAAAACATTAGAAAGATAAATTTAGACTGACCCCCAAAATAAATAACAGTTTACAACCCATATAAAAATGTAGCTGAGAGTCCGGGGCCCCTGAGACATGAAAGCTTTCTAAAATGAGAGATGATCTTCCTGCTCGGGTGTTGGGGCAGGAAAGAGACATACAGCCCTTTAGTGTTTCAGTCAGCCCCGAAGTCTTATGCTCCATTCCCTCAAACCCCTGAAGGCAAGGGCCAGCTCAACATCTGTAATCCTCACACAGAAGCAGTTCTTTCCGAATTTCAAAACTTGAAAGCAGAAACTTTAATCTGTTTCTCACACAGATACTTTTCAACTGTTGCTGAGCCTCTGCCCTTCTTGGGAAACAGCAGGGCTGTGGCTTCTGACATTGACTCGCTGATAGACTGAAGCCATCCAGTAACTCCTGATAGGAGCCACGGTGTGTTTCTTCTTCCACTACAAATGCTGCGTATCGCCTAAGAAAAGACAATTACCCAGTTAAAAGGAAATGTGGACCAGCTGGGAGAGAGATCAGCTGGTAAAGTTCTTGCTTAGGTTCTGGGTTTGATCTTCCCAGAGCTCATATTGAAGCCAACAAAAAAATGGTGATAGAATTGTAATCCCAGGGCTGGGGTGTCAAAGATAGGTGCATCCCTGGTGTCAATGGCCAGCCAGCCTAGCCTGCTTGCTCAGTCTCAGGCCAAGGAGAGGCTCTGTCTCAAAAAAGGGTCACACCTGAAAAATAACACCCAAGGGTGTTCTCTGGCCTTCATATGCATGAGTACACATGTATCTGGACCCCATACACATGCATGCACTCCCCACACACATGCATGCACTCCCCACACACCTGCATGCGCCATACACACACCTGCATGCACCCCACATACACCTGTATGTACCCTCACACCTGCATGCACTCCCCCCACACCTGCATGCACCCCACATACACCTATATGTACCCCCACACCTGCATGCACCCCCTCACAATCTGTATGTACCCCTACACACCTGCATGCATCAACACACACCTGCATGCACTCCTCACACAGCTGTATGTACCTCGCACACCTGAACGCACCCCCTCACAATCTATATGTACCGCTGCACACCTGCATGCACCCCTTACACCTGCATGCACCCCACACACCTGCATGCACCCCTCACATCTGTATGTACCGCTGCACACCTGCATGCACCCTGCACCCCTGCATGCACCCCACCCACCTGAATGCACTCCCACACACATCTATATGTACCCATGAACACCTGCATGCACTCCCCACACCTGTATGAACCTCTGCACACTTGCTTGCACCCACACACACCTGCATGCACCTCCCCACACACCTGCATGCACCCCACACACACCTGTATGTACCCCTGCACACCTGCATGCACCCCCATACACCTGCACACACACCCCACACACCTGTATGTACCTCACACACACCTGTATGTACCCCTGCACACCTGCATGCACCTCCCCACACACCTGCATGCACCCCCATACGCCTGTATGCATAGTCCCACAAGTGCACCTGCAGACAAACATACACTTAGAAATATAGCTAGTCTTAACAGGTCATATTTATTGGATCTGTATAATCAAGTGCATATCTCAGCAGTGGTCCTAGCAGAAGAGGGTCAGGCACTAGCATATGCATTTACCATAAAAGGCAGCACCACAGGGAAGTGGGCATTTGTGCTTGGATCCAGTCCTGTGACCGAGCCATTCCAGGACTTGGGTTCTCACAGCTACTCTATTCTGTTTTCTTACCCACAGCACCAAAAGGAAGAATAATGATCCTGGGGAAGAAAGGAAGGGAAGCCCTTGAGTAAAATATTTAAGGACAAGTGACAGTCTTCAGAAAATTAGTTTAATATTTGATAACACTTCTAGCTTTTATTAAAAACTCACTTGATTTACACTTGATTGGCTTAACATCTAGTTTAATTTGTTGAGCCTTCATTTACAAAGGGCAAAAAGCTGCCTTTACCTGTTCCCTTTGTAGCTGTATTGGGGCAAGCTCTTGGGATTTTTCAGTATGTTAGAGCTGTATGAAAACAATCGTGTTGGCTGGGAGATGGCTTAGTCAGCCACGCAAGTCCAAGACCTGAGTTTATAACACTGTTATAGACCATCAGAGCCTGTTGTTTACAACACGGCCAGCTGTGGAGGTGTGTACTTACAGTCTGAGGTCCGAGAAAGCAGGGACAGGGGACTCCTGGGAATTCCAGGCCAGCCAGCTTAGCCTACTGGTAAGTTTCAAGGAAGCAAGAGACCCTAGACAGATGTGGCTTTCATATACATGTGCATACATCACCTGTTCCCCTTGCACACACATGGACATGTGCACATACCTACCACACATACATACAAACATACATCATACATACATACTACAATGACCTCTGAGTTCATTCTATATACTTAAGTACCACTGTAGCTCTTGTAGACAATATCTGAACAATATTTTCTTATCTTACATCTGAGAGGAATAGAGGGCTGGAGAAGCTAAGAGAATTATGCTTGAGGATTCATTTTAAGTGAACAGGGGCCGGGTGCTCTTAAGATGACAGCTTTGTTTGTGTGTGTTGTCTAACCCGCTCACCCTCACACTTCAAAGCAGAGACAGAAACCACTACTCTCATGTCTCTTTTTGTCTGTGTCCTCCAGCTCTTCCCCAGTGAGGTCCTTCTAGCACTTGTACGCCTAACTCTGACGTTTCTTTTCAGACTAAAACTTCATGAAATCATGTGGGAATTGTGTGATCGTGGACTCGAGTGGAGCAGAATAAATGTGCTACAAAAACCTGACAAAAGAATCTAAGTAAAGTAGCTCAGGGGAACGTCAGCAGCTGAGGGGAGGGAGGTGAGAGATTGATGTCCTGGCAAGTATGCATTAGTTCCTTCGTTCCTTCTGGGGGACATCTTTCATTATTATTAAACTTCATCTCAGGGAGTAGAAGGGCTCTACTGGGGCTTGCCAGTCAAAATTTATAAAACAGTTGGATTATAGAATATCTGAGGACAGAGCAGCTTTTGCTTAAAATTGAACACACGGTAAACAATCAGTGTGTACTTAGTGACATGGCTACGAAGCTCAAAGGAATTCAGCAGAAATATCTGTATGGCTGTAACTTAATCTATTTGTAAAATAAGTCGCACGTTCTGGCGTTTTTGCAATCATTCCCACCTGCTTTTCTCACTACACTGTCTGATTGGCATGACCGAACTGTTAAAGGACAGACACGTATCCAGAGACGCACAGGAGTGTGGAGGGTTGTAGCTCAGAAGGAGAACACAACACCTGCCCTCCAAAAGCAGATGATCCAGATCTCTGTCTTATCCTGTGAACTTAATATAAAATGTTAAGCAAAGTGCTTCCACCAACGAGAGTTTCTTTTTTCTTTTATTGAAAATAGATATTTTTTCATATAATATATCCTGATGACAATTTCCTCTCCTACCCAAAGTTTCCCCAACCTCCCCTCCCATCCAGATACATCCCTGTGGTCGTTTGAATGTAATTGGCCCCCATAATCTCATAGAGAAGGACAGAAAGCCGGTGAGCATGTAATTGATCAAGGGGACCATGTTCGAACCCAAACAAGAAGCAGAACGTGGCAGTTTGGCCACATAGTTCCAGTTTTAGAGCTAAGGATAGAAGAAATGGGTTATGGAATTTGCTCTGTGCCTAAAGAAAGCCAGTGAAGGCAGGCATGTGTCGGGGGTGTTTCTGAATGGAGGTCTAATAGAAAGGACACTGCATGAAGCTGTGAAGTTGAAGCCTGGATTGCCTTGGAGAACCCAAGATGTTAGAGATGCC